GAGGCGCGGGCCCCGCCGGGCCGGGGCCGGGGCCGCCGCGCTGGCTGCGGTGTAAATAGCTGTGGCCGGGCCGGAGAGGCGCTCGCGGGGCCTCGGCGGAGCGGCCGCCGCCCGGGCGGGTTTGACCCCGCGAGGAGGCCGCAGCTTGTGCCCCGACCCACACTGCGGCCTTGGGGCAGCTCTGTCGAGCTCCGTCAGCCTGGAGGGCCTTCGGGCGGGAGGGACTCCCGTGTGGCACACGGGAAGGTGCGCCCTAGGCCCCTGGGTCCAGCTGGTGCTCGCAGGCGCCTGGCTCTGCCGGCGGGAAGCCACGTTCCTGCCCAGGCTGTCCTCCCGTCTGTAGTTAGGGTTCAGTTATGGTCGTGGTGACAAACTAGTCGACTCTTCTGAAATCCAGCTCTTCTCTTAAAAAACCCAACTCTTTAGGTAATGGTGTACAAAAATATGACATCGATGCATTCATCCTTCTAACATTAATGAACTTAAAAGAGGAATATGGCTCTAAATGCTGCTTCTGTGGTGCATGCAGAAAGTTTTGACACACAAGATCGTGCTAAAAGCGCGGACAGATACTGCTGACCTCGGTGTGTCACTGTCCTGGGTGACTGACCCTTGCGGGGACAGAGCAGAGACAAAAGTGATACGGAGACAGCAGAGACCGCTGGTCAGCAGCGGGACCTGTGTCTGGGCAGCCTTCATAGCCCAAGATCAATATCTAGTAATTCACAAGCGCTAGGTGGACAGCAAGGATTTTTATTATTTATTGCAGATATCAGCCATCGATTGACCTATTTTATATATATATATATATATATATTATCAGGATTCCTTCTGTGGTTGTATTCTGTCCAATTCTGTCCAGGTTTTTATTTTGTCATATTAGTCCCTTTGCTGCCCTTTTTTTTTTAATTAAACGACAGCTTTTCTTCTCTTGCACATCTCAGTGAAGAGTCAAACAACTCTTTTCCATCCTTTCCATTCCCTGTTGAATTTCTGAGGAGAAACCTGCTTCAGAGTCTCTGAGCAGTGGTCGCCTGCAAGAGCTTTACTTCTTAACCCCATCAAGCTAACTACTACAAGCCTTAGCTTTAGCTGTGTCATCAAACACTAATAGAGTTTTCACAGCACTTTTTAGCATGGCTGACTGGCTTTGGTGCTGCCTGTGCTAGAATTACCTTCTTTAGGGCTGATAAAGCAGTTGTCATCCTGAGCAGTTTCGGTGATTTTTTTTTTGACTAACATGATTAAAAGTTAATTCATCTTTCAAATATTGAGTGGACTGCGGCCTAGCACTCTGTAAGAGGCAAGGTAAGTTGTTCAGACTATAACTTTTTTTTTTCTTTAGAAAAGTCATTTATTTTTGTTGCTGTATTGATTGGGTCTGTGGCACTGAGTTGCAACAAGGCTTAAAGAAAAACAGTAATCAAGAAATTCACAGAACTGACTAAAATCTCTGTATTTCTTTTGGCAGATGCTTTCTTTACCTGTCGAAAGAATGTGCTTCTGGCGAAGAGCACGTCCACCCAGGTAGAGGGCATCTTTGCGGCATCCGGAGGAAGGTCGGTCCCAGAAGAGCAAGAAGCCCTGCTCCAGCAGTGGCTGGAGGAAGGAGCAGGGAGCTTGCCAGCCAGTGAGAGTGCTCCAGCAGTGGGGAAGGTGTCGGCTGCCCTCACTAGTGACTGGTTAGAAGGTTCGGAGTTATTGATGACTAGCCTTAGTGACCTGAATTCGGCTCCAGAAGTCACGTGGTGTGCCGGTCAGCAGCTTGCAGAGCTACACACCTTGGCATCTTCAGAACCACAAGATCATGCGGTGGCTGAACTGGCAAAATTACCAGCAGAGGAAGCGGTGGCTGTGGTAGGCAGTGCCCCTTGGGCAGCTGTAATGCCACAGACGGATCACCAGCTAGTTGACTGTGCCACTATAGATGTAGAAGGGCAGAATGAAGACCCAGCTGTGCTGGCATGGAGCTTAGCACATGATGCAGAGATAGTGCCAGTGGAGGCCCCAGCCTGGACCATTCAGAATATGGAACAGTTTCAGCCTCTTCCAGCAGAGGTGCCCTACCATGGTCAGTAGAAATAACTCTGAATCTCATGTTTAGTTTAGGATTTGCATTTGTATTGAACCTTACCAGGTTTTTTTTGTGTGTCTGGGCCGATGAGTAGGTTGGGGCTTGCCGTCAGTGCAACATTGATTGTACATGTCTATACAGAATTGACAGGATCAGCTAGTGAAAGCTGTAAAGTGCTTTTTTGCTGAGAGAGGGCTGGCCACAGCTAGGGTTCTCTATGCTGTTAGAATGGTGGTTATTGATATATACATTTCACAGGAGTCGTGCCAAAGTGTTGACCTCTTATTACAAAAAGTCTCCAAGATGTGGCTGATTTTTTTTCAGTATTTTTGATACTAGTCTTCTGTTACCCCATTCTCTTTGGCCTGAGGTGATCCAAATGGCCTAAAACCCAGAGACTTGGAGCCCGGAGCACTGTAGGTTGGAGAAGTAAACTGGATATTTTCTGGAACCTAGAAACACAGAAGTATCAGCAGGGTACCCAGCATGGCTCTAACCTGGCTTCTTGTCTCTTGCATATAGAGATCTTATGGAGAGACTGGGAAGATCTTTCTGTCGAGCCCTATGGGCCAGACCAGGTCTCAGGAAACATGCCCCTGTTTGAATTTCGGGTGATGTCTTACAACATCCTGGCCCAGGATCTGGTGGAACAGGGTTTTGATCTCTATCTACACTGCCATCCAGACATCCTGAACTGGAACTACCGCCTTCCAAACCTTTTGCAGGAAATCCAGCACTGGGATCCCGATGTGAGTAAGCTCCTGCCATATTAGCATCACCTGAATTTGAATTCCTTCTTTGATCTAACTGCATGTTTTCTTTTGCCTTTTTTTTTTTTCCTGTGTGTTTTTATATTTTTTTCCCTAAGAAACAAACAAACAAAAAAAGACCTGGGAAGATGCTGTCTGCTCGTACATTTAAGGTTGATCCCTTTGAGACTATCAGAGGCCCGTGTGTAAGGTGTGCTGTGTGCCTGTAGAAGCTGGTCATCCTTTGATTGCAGGGCTTAAATACTTGAAGAGTACAAATGGATGAAGAAGAAGTAATTTTTTTTCAGGGGAAAAGACCAGCCTTATAAGGCAGTAGAGAAGGTAAAAAGTACATAGAAAGAGGACTTCCTAATATTCCCTATTCCCCGAGTCCTCTTTGGGTGGTGAAAGAGCTTCTGCCTCATCACTGGGTAACTGAAAGAGAAACTCGTGTGACCCAGCAAATGATTGTGTAGCTGGGAAGTGCAGAACAGAGTTGCAGTGCTGACCTTTCTAGTTTCAGCGTTCGTATGTGAGTGCACTTTTTCACTTTTTTCCTTCCTTAAAACAAGGTAGCTGGCAAATACTGATGGAGCGAGTGAGGTCTCTGCCTTCCTTCCAGGTTCTGTGTCTCCAGGAGGTACAAGAGAACCATTACTGGGAGCAGCTGGAACCCACGTTCAGGATGATGGGTATGTCCTGCTGCTTAGTGTCTGTAGCTCCCTGCTCACAGCAGCTGGTCCTGGAGTTTCTCCTCTATATGTCTTCAAAGTCGCCAGGCTTGGGAGAAATCTGTTTCTTTGTGTAGCTGCTGTCCCTACTTCTCAACTCTGCCTAGATATTTCCTCCTTCAATCTGGTTCTTATTCCAGTTTGTAACTTTCTCCCACGTGACAGACCAGAGTGATGAAATAGTGTTGGTTCTGGTATACAAGGAGAGAAAAAGATCCTTGATGATAAACTAGGATTATTGTGACAGAATTGATCATCACTTTGGTGTTCGGGTGACAGAGCTCTGGAACAGGCTCCCCAGAGAAAATGTGGAGTCTCCTTCTTTGGAGAAATTGAAAAACGGCCTGGATGCCACCCTGTGCCACATGCTCTAGGTGTCCCTGCTCCAGCAGGAACGTTGGACTAGATGATCTCTAGAGGTCCCTTCCAACCTCAACCATTCTATGATTCTGTAATAATGCTGTGAGCTCAAAGAGCAGAGACTGAACTCCCAGGCATTGAGTCCTGTTGCTTTTGGCTAAATAAGCAAAGAGCTGAGTGAAGACTGATAGGAAGTGTAAAGGGCTATGTTACTGAACAGCCAGTGCTCTGCAAGTAGGTTTGTTCGTTGCCTACTGATTGTTGAGGACTTTTATAGTTATAGCTCAGATGTGTTGTAGAAAACAAGTTGACAGTTAGAAAAATGAGAATGCATAGACGTCACAGAAAGTTTCCTCTCATGCAAGTCCACCAGATTGAGGGTCAGACTCCTAAGACATATGTCAGGGACTTGTTTTATATGGGCTTATCAAACCCTCCAACTAACGGTGGGACTGCTGAGGAAGTGGACACCATCTAACGAGTGTTGGTTTCTCTTCAGGCTTTGAATGCTTCTATAAGCGGAGAACGGGCAGGAAAACAGATGGCTGTGCAGTATGCTATAAGCACAGCAAGTTCCAGCTGATCAGTGTCAACCCCATAGAATATTTCCGGCCTGGTCTGGACATCCTCAATCGGGATAATGTGGCCTTGGTGCTCTTGCTGCAGCCCCTGCTTCCAGAGGGCTTGGACCTGAAGATGGTCAGTCCGTTGTGTGTGGCCAACACTCACGTGTTGTACAATCCCCGCCGGGGGGATGTCAAACTTGCGCAGATGGCCTTGCTGCTAGCAGAGATCGACAAGATTGCCAAGACTGCTGAAGGCAGCTACTACCCTGTCATTTTGTGTGGCGACCTGAACTCTGTGCCTGATTCTCCGCTGTACAAATTCGTCCGGAACGGTCAGCTTTCTTACCATGGGATGCCGGCCTGGAAGGTAGGTGCCAAACTGAACGGGAATCAGAGACCTGTTTGCCACATGCTGCTACACAATACATAGCTATATTCTCCCTCTCATGAGGAAAGAGGCCCACTATTACTGTGCCTGTATTATTCAGGGCTCTTCTGCTACGCTTCCTGCGTTGCTGAGGAAAGAGACAAATATGTGTGTGTTGTTTCCATCGCTGCTCTTTTGGTTTCTCTTAAGGCAGGTCAGTGATAATAGACCGCTTAATTTCAGGTCCTGATTCTCCCTTGCTATGGGAGCAGGGCAGAGTACAAATTCAGCAAGAGATACTAGAATTTTTAGGGAGTTTATTTAAGTTTTTTTTATCATGTAAGTAGTTTTGTCCATGACGTGGGCACCTATGCTAGACCTTCCCGTGGTTATCTGTTACTGAATATCCATGCTCAAATGCATTGCCAGCTTCCAAGCCAAATCATTATTTTGTTAATAAAAGATACTTTGCAGACATCTGCCAGGTGACTTTTAGCTAATTGTGTGTCTGCCACCCCAGTATCTGAGAGTTTATTATATCAGTGCTCTGTCGTCTTCTAAATGGCTCGTTTCCATGAAGACATCCTACCAGCTTGCTCTTGACAAGTGTAAACATTGTCTGCAGCCCATAAAAGTTCTGCTGCTGATGCGTCCTGACCTGTTGCTGGCTTCCTTGCAGGTTTCTGGGCAGGAGGACTTCTCCCAGCAGCTGCATCCCCGGAAGCTGCTGGCCCCGCTGTGGCCGAGCTCGCTGGGCCTCTCGGACAACTGCCAGTTCGTCTCTGCGAGCCCGCCGAGGCAGCCGGGTGAGCGCCGGCGGGCACAGGGCGCGGGAGCTGCCCAGGGAGGCACAGCGTGGTGGCCTCTGTCTCCCTCTCTCAGCACCTAGCGATGCATGAGGCACTTGGCAAAGATCATCTCTTTCTCCTATCGTTTTTCCTGATATGTGGTTTAAATTTAGCCTTTCTGGTGTCTGTTACTGTTGCCCATGTTTCTGCTATTTTTCTCCAGTCAGAAAGTGAATGTTCCTCTACCAGAAACCCTTCCTCTGAGCCCCTTATTTATGTTCCTACGGTGATTGATGCTTTTGTGCAGTTGTAAACCTGCCTTCAGCAGCAACAGCTTCCAGTTGCAGGTGTTTATCAGAATGGGTTTAGGGCAGTGTTTACACACTACAACTAGGAACTTATTGTTAAGAGCCCATAATGACTATTCTCTCCTCTATAGAGGATTAAAAAGAAAGAGCCTCCACTGCATAGTTTTTGTTGGAAGGTGTGTGAATATAGAGCTTGTATTCAACTTGATCTCCAGAACTATTGTTCCTTGTTAGGTAGACGATTCCTTGAGTCACTGATCTCCTTAAATCTCTAACTTGCCTTGTCTCAAAGGAGACATTCTTAGTTGTGACACCTAGTTGCTGACAGTGCAGGATGCATTAGCAGTAGGGATTGCAGTAACTGGCTGTGGCCTGAGCTCTGTTACTCTACATTGGCACCTCCATTCTGTGTTTCAGTTTTTAAGTGATTCTCATTCTGATGGATCACAGTGCTCGAACACAAAAATGTCCTTGGAACAGAAGTCTAAGGGAGGATGTAGATAGACCCTGTAGCTAGGACTGTTCTACTCTTTTTTTCCGCTTCTCTTTTCCTTAACTAGTCTTTTTCTCTGCAGACAGACGCAAGTACAGCCGGGACTTTCTGCTGCAGTTCCATTTCTGCGACATGGCCTGTGAACGACCACCACATTTGATCCTCTTGGAAGGTGTGACAGATGCTAAACCAGGTATTAATGAGAAATTCTCCAGTTCATGACTCTCCTAGCTGGATTTTGATGAAAGACTGAGATGGAGGTAATGTTTGGTGAGGAAAGGGGAACTGTCACTACCTCTGCATGATTACTAACAAACGGATTCTCTGAGGGCTCAGAGGAATGCAGTCCTGCTGTCCTTACATAGCAAGGCTTGCAATACTGTGTGCCTTGACATGCACTGAGATTCGGCCTCTTTTCGAGGCTGTTTTCAAAAAAGCCACATATATTTTAAGGGAGAGCAAACTGGAGGAGTGTCAAACCGTGCTGGCCACAACATAAAGGTCCCTGGATGCTGGTACCCAATGTACACAGCCTCACTCTGGGCTTTGTGGCAGGGTTGGTTCTGCTCTATTTATATTGTGCTTTTCTGGCCAGCTGTTCTAGATGGGTAAGCTGTAGGCTGAGATAGATGAAATATTTTTGAGAACAAAAGTTGCAGTGCTCTGAGCTTTGATCGTATTAAATGCCCTAAGGGCATGTCTTCCACAGGACAGAATTTTTGTTTCTCAGCTGTTTGCACTGACCCGCTGTCAGCATTCCTGGAAGTCTTGGGCTGGACTTTCCTTTGAATGTTTTTCATGAAAATGCCTCTAACTAGAAACTGTTGGCTTCTTTTGGGCCAAAATTCTGATTTAGGTTAAGCAGCCTGATCTGGGCTTCTGTGGATCTGTCCGGAATCTCTCTGCTCCTTTGCAGACCGTCCTGCACACTGGCCCAAGCATGCTGCTGTGGTGAATGACCCTGATTCCCAGTTCGGCTTCCCAAGGTAATCCGGTGCAGCTTCCTGTGGGGAAGTCCAGTCTCATTGTCCTGAACAATTGAAGTCTGGCTCAAGTAAAGACTGAAATAACTGGGAGGCTGGCCGAGAGTAAGGAGGGCTGTCTGGAGCAGCTGGAGCCACGCAGGGTTGTCCTGGTAGCTGGGGGATGTTATGTCAACATGGGCTTGATGAGGTGAAGAGTGAAGGGCGTAGCCAGGACTGGGTATTTGGGAGAAGGGAAGTTCCTAGTTTACTCAGTCTTTGATATAAATAAAGTGAATAACGCTGAAGGACAGTCTTTCTGCATGTGCTCACAAACACAGAAGCAGTTTGGACATTTGCATCAGCAGCAATTCCCGTTCCTTTGCAGGTCTTCAGGCGTTATTCAGCATGGTCTCAACCTGACCTCAGTCTACAGTCACTTCCTGCCCCAGCGAGGGCGCCCGGAGGTCACGACCATGCCCATGGGGCTCGGAGCCACCGTTGATTATATCTTCTACTCAGCAGAGCCCGTGGAGAATGGGGACAGAGGGGGTGAGTGTGGCAGCACGGGGCCCATCCTTACTGGGTCAGGTACAGCAGGATGCAGCTCTGTGGTGGGCAGTGCGTTTCACTGAGTAGGGGATGCATGAGCAGGGTGTGCCTGTGACCAGAATGATGCACAAAGGAGAAGCAGCGTTTCCTCAAGGGCCATGAGAAAACACTGTGCATCTTTGCTGTGGAAGAGCTCAAGCTACTCAGCTGAGGTTCAGGTGGGTCTCTGAGGAAACCAGAAGAGAATGTATTCTGCTTCATGAGTACAAGTGGCTGCTTGTGTTCTTCATCATAAGCAGTGCTGGGTCTTAAGTTCAGAATGTGGACTTTTGGTCTGACTGAGACCCCACATTTGCCTTAAAAAGAAGGAGCTTTTGTTACCTTATGCTGGCACCACCCCTCTACTGCCAGAAAGGTTAGGTTGGTGAAGGTTGGTTAGGTTGGGACATGACTGCCCGAGCTGGATTGGATTGGATCAGAATCAACTTTGGGGAGGAGGGTAGGAGTGAAGAGATCAGGTGTTTCTCAAAGGAGAATGTAAAGGCACCTGCAGGAGTAAGTGTAGGGAATGGGAGCTTCCCATGCTTTGGTGGGGGGAGTTTAATACGTACTGAATTCCCAAGTATCTAGAGAGTCCGTAGAAGAGCACTAGTATACCATGCTCATTGCTTTCACAGCGAGGCTCAGAGATGCCTGTGGTGTTTGTGCAGGCTGGCTGCATCAGGAAGAGGCTGGAAAAACGTTGTCAAGCCTCCCTCTGTGGCTGCATAGAGTTAATTTACAGCACGAGTATCCAGCTGATGTTTGATTTCCTTTTTCTCTTTTCACAGGTCGCAGACTGTATCAGGATGGAGCCCTGAAGCTGCTTGGCCGACTTTCCCTCCTCTCTGAGGATGTCCTGTTGATGGCAAATGGCTTACCCAATCCTTTCTGTTCGTCTGACCATCTCTGCCTGCTGGCTAGCTTTGGCTTGGAGATCTCCAGCCTCAGAGAGGGTTAGTGTTGGTCCCCCTTCCCTAAAGAAAAGCTGTTCTGAATACAGCAGTTGAGGCTCTGGATGCACAATCTGCTTGCAGAAAAAAAACTCTTTTCCTTGTCATATCCTAAAAGTCCCTTCTCCTCTCATGCCCTCAGAAAAAATTGGGGGTGGGGGAGTTGGAGCCTTTTGTGCATTGATGTTTCGTGGGCTCTGCAAACCTGAGCTGCGTTTCCAGCAGACTTCCAATTGTTTTCAGGCTTTATCATCTCTTAAAGAGATCTTTGGAGTTAACTTTCTGGTTTCCCTGCTTCATTTAGCAGATGTTTTAGCGCTGCAGGAATCAACCTAACTCCTGCGTTTGCTTGTCCATGGGTGAGACCTTCAAGGAGCCGGGCAGTTGAGGGGCAATGTTTCCTGCTTGTAGTTAGTTAATTGCTGCCAAATTGCTGGGGTTGTGCACACCCCCGCTCCTTCATGCCAAAGCAATGGTTACTTTTAGTTTGTTAGTGAGGAGTTCATGAAGCATGGTCCTCCCAGCTGCTGCCTGTAGGGTTGCCTCTAAGAGCTGTGTTCTCGTGGCTGCTTGGAAGTGGCTTTTACTTAATGATATATAAGGGCTGTCTTTCTGACGAAAGAGTTTGTAGACTCAGGCAGCTTCTATAAGTTCCTTAGTGTGTCTAAATGACTTGGGAATGGATTTGCTGGGAACGGAGCTGGGGTTCTACAGAGCTGTCCTCAGGACTTCTAGAAACACCACAAAAGCCCAGAGGCTTTGGGAAAGGCTCCTTACTTTCTGGCAGGCTCAGAACAATACCTAGTTCCTTTGGCACATGTAGGAGAAAGATTTAAGATCTTCTTGGTGGACTTCAAGTAGTGAAAACTCTGAGACATGAGAACCCCAGGTGGCCCTGGCTCTAGGAAGTCCCAAGAGAGGTGAAAATGGGAGGCATGTCAGAGGAAGCAGAACCATCACATGGAAGAGCTGATACTTCTCACATGCCAAAGTCATTCTGTATGCCCTCCTTATCCAGCTGGCCTGGCACAAGTTAGATAGCCAAGCTGTAGCATCCTCCTGGTCCAGAGGGAAGTTCCTACTGCTGCCACCTTCTGGATCCAGCCCTCTTTATGTAGATAGAAGCTATAGAACTGACCCCTGTCTCTGTCAGGGAAAGTTGTGTGCTTGGAACCAGAGCATCAGCAGTGGCTGTGAGAAAGGGCAGAAGTGGATGTGTTCCGAGGGCAGATTCCCCAGCTTGCTCTGACAGCTGGTGCGCAGCTTTCCCTGAGAGGTGAACGCACTGTTGGCAGAAGCACTTTCAACCCTCCGCTCATAGCTGAGGCAGGGAGATCTGGCCTCACTTCTGTGGCGGGGTACAAGGAGACTTGAAATATCATTGCTTTCTCCTGGGTTATATTGGGGGAGTTTCATGTTTTAAATGTTGCTTTCTTAATCTTATTCAAAAATAAAAAAATTGTAATTTGTGAAAAAACAACATAGTAACTGCAGCACCTTGTGCTCCTGGCAGCTGAACCCTCCTAGGCCTTAGGGATGCAGAGGTCTGCGTTTCCACAGCTCTGTTTTGCCTGACAGTTGCGCTGATTTCTTCAAGCACTCTTACCCTGTCTTTGTAATTGATTTTATTTGCCAAGGGGAAGGGAGGAAAGGGAAATCTGTGGCACTGCAAGGGCTTTATTTTTCTGCCACGCTGTTTCCAGGTTGCCAGAAAGCAAGCCTGCTTGCAGAAAACGCCCGCCAGCTGCTAACATGGGGATAGGAAACTTGGAAGACAAGGAAGTTTTGTTTTGTTTTGTTTTCTTTCTTTTTGTTCTTTTTTTTTTTAAACAAACAAAAAAACCTGTGGCAAATCTAGCTGTTGTCACTTACGTGTCACGTCTTTGGCTGCCTGCTTCACTCGTAGGTGCTGGCTGGCTCTGCTGGTCAGCGAGCGCTGGGGCAGGGAGGGGAAGCAGCCCCGGCCCCACGTGCCGAGGCCCCGTGCGCGGCCGCAGCGCTCGCCCAACTGCTGAGGGGCAGCAGGGCCCTGCGGGGCCGAGCTGGGGGGCACCCTGGCGAGGGAGGTCTCCCCTCCCAGTGCTAGCCCGTGCGTCCTGCCAGCCCCGTCACTTAGCATAGCTGTGCTTGAAAACCAGAAATGCTTCTCCCATTTTATTCAAACCAAAGCACTGGCGTTTCTTGTGGGTAACTTGCATGATGGCATCTCTCGAAGAACTTTTCTTGCATGCCAGTGTAACCTTCCAACTATCGTTTGCTGGAAAATCCAATATTCCATTGGGTCAGAGTACTGTTTTCCCTTTCAATACGTGAATACTTGGAGGAGTCGGGCTGGGCTGTTCTTGCACAGTGGATGTCGACTCATGCACTAAGAAGCCCCAGGACACCACGTCCTTCCTGCAGGGCTTTTCATCCTTCCCCCAGGAGGTTCAGCAGCTCCCAGAGGGCCCTGCAGCTCCTAAAGCCCTGGCTATCTTGGGCATTTGCAAGCAACGCTCCTTGAGAAATACAGAACTGTCACTAGCGGCTGCATATGCTGCCCCTTTTAGGAAAGGAAATTATCCATGTTCTGGAGTAATTTGGAGATAACATCAAATGGATCTGGAGACGTGTGAATGACTATAGGGAAAATTTGGGAAGTGGGGGGAGTTTCTGCCTCTAAAATGGTGACTAGTGTATTATTGTAGTTCTGGTGAGAAAATAATGTGCTGCATTAAGAATACTTTAATGCTGTAAGAATACACTGCTGCTTTGAGAATACAGCGAGAGACCTGGTAATGAACAACTTGTGGGAAACAGGATTAAGATCCTAGATGCAGCTCGTAACTGTTTTCTGACCTAAATGCATAGCTAGCTGTCATTAACATGGCTTTCTGAGGAATTACAAAGGCGCCTTAAATGGCTATGGAAGTGGAACAATGGGAATATCTGCCAAAAAGGGAGGGTATCATAAAGCTACAGTACAACCCCCATCGTCATCTTCACTGTCATCTTCTCGGTGGAGATTCGGATCCCAGGGAGATCAGTGCTTAGGGAAAGGGATGCCAAGGGCTGCTGGCAGCCCACACACATTCCCCCTTCTTCCATTCCCCACACAGCTGCCCAGCGGTGCTCAGTTAGGCCGCTTAGAAATTGCATTTCTTTAACTGTTGCAGCCTCGGAAGGTGTTCAGCACTTGAGGAGGATGCCCACCAAAACCAGCTGCCATGATTGCCTGGGACAGGAGGATGATGATGATTACTGATGATGATTTTTTTCTGCAACTGTGTTTCTTTAGTTAGAACCTATGGCTGAATTCTTTAAAGCTGCCTTATTATAAATCCAACCTATTAAATACTGTAAAGCCACAAGAAGGTGCGATCACTGATCAGAGTGACGATCTGAGTGCACAAAGCAGGGCTGTTCCTCCTTGCACTGCCGTCACCTTGCTGATGACTGTGATTGGAGTGCACTGCTGGGCTTTGCAAACACACCTAGGGCTCATCCAAGTGAAGAGGGAGCCTCTGTGGCCTCATCTAGACGTGGAACACGTGCAGACCTTCCTGGGATCCCAGCTCCTCCAGTTTGCCTTCCTGTTGTGCCAGTTAATGGAATTACTGTCTCTGATGCTGCTCTTACCAGACTGCAGCCGCTTTGTTTGAGTGCTTCCCGCGGCTCCGATACTCTGGAATGCACACTGTAATTCCTGCTGTCCAACTTACTGCATCGTGATGGAAGTACGAGATGTTTGAGTGTCTGCAGAGACCTCATCTGCTGTGCTGATAACACATCTCGTGCCACCTCCCTCCTTTTGTCAGCTGCACATGCTTGGCATTTCCTGTCGGGACAAGTCATCCTCCAACTGCCACTGGGAATGTCACTCTAGGCCTGAAACTCTCTTTCTCTTTTCTTGTAATGGCAGATCTGGGTTGTGCATTCTTATGCTCTGATGGAATAGGAATGTTGTACAGTGGAGCTGGAACGTTTCTTTTTTCCTGACTGTTTTCAGACAGACACAGTTTTCAAGGTGCTGAAGTCTGGTAGGCAGATTGGGCTAGACATTGGCCTGCACTGCAGCAAGAGACATTTGCTCCATCCAGTCTGTCTTTTTTCTTTTTCTCTCTCTCAAAGGAGATTTGTCATCAAATCCGAGCTGTGTTACTTAGTTTGAGGGCTGACAGTTTTCGGCTGCACTGCTTTGCTCCTCCTGCATGGCAAGCCAGCTGCAGCAACCCTCAGTTTATTCAGTTCACAGCTACCTTCAGCAGCTGCTCTCAGACCAGCTATTCTAAAGGCTTTCTCACTTTTCCTCCTTCCCCTCCTCCAAAAAAAGGGATGGGAGATAGCAAGGCAGCCACTCCTTGGCAAAATGAAAGCCAGGAAAGCCAACTCAACAGAGTAAGTAGGACAGGAGGGACTTCAGTTGTCCATAGCAGGTCCTCTGCCTCTTCACAATCTTACCGTCTATGCACTGAGACAATTCTTGAAGAATTATTTTTCCCTACCACCACCATTAATATCCTGTGTGCTTCTAGGCATGTGAGGCCCTTAAATTTTGCAGTCTTCTTGACATAATAGCCGACCAGTAATATTACTATTTTTATTGATTTCTGAGTTATGTGGTTTGTACAGCTTCTTTTCAGGCTCTTTTCCATAACAAAGGCTTTGTATTAAGGTCTAAATAGTGTAGTGTCCAAATGACTTAAGAAGTTGGAAGTGTAGAAACTGTCAACAACGGGATGAAAGTCTGATCTAAGAGGGAACAGAAAGTGTTATTTTTAAATCTCAGCTGTGGACCAGTCACTGCTTTACCTCTCTGTCTAACACTCAGCCCACCCCATGTGTCTACTGGGGCTTTAGGGGCGATCTCATTTTTAAGAAAGTCAGATATGGGGCAGAGGGCATTCTCAAACAGCTCTACGACCCTCCACTGAGATGAAGCAGAGGTTTAGAGAGGCTACAGCATTTAATTAGAAGACAGGGAGCAAGAATTCCTCTACTGCGGAAGGACTGTTGTGAACTTCTGGGCTTGAGCACGCTCTTTGCCGGCTTATGATGTGGTTACTATTCTCTTAGTTTCTTAATGTGACCTATCAAGTGCTCTGCAATTATTTTCCTCCCCAAGGCACCAAACAACTGTCCCCAAGGCAGAGTTGTTTATATAGTTTAACTTAGCTGAAAGGGACTGGTGCATGTGTGCCCCTCTTTGGAGGGACAGGGTGAGGGGGTGCTTATTCCTTCCCTGCACCCATACATGAGCTCTCAGCCTGCTTGCCTACATCCTGGCCTTGGTCCCAGCTATTACTCATTTCCCAAAGAGAAGGATATGTTATGCCTGAAAGATGATACCTTGAATAAAGTTGGATCCCCCTTGTTGGGGAAACGCAGCAGGTCTCGCAGCTGACTGTCCTTTATTAACCCAGCATCTGCTGGGAGGAGACCTGGGGAGCTCGTGAGCCTGGAAGGCCACTATTTTACTTTTTTTTATTAAATGCAGTTTAAGCATTTGAGGCCAGGAAAGGAGACTCATAGTTATGTGTTGAAGATGGTGGAACTAGAGGCTTGTGTCCACCCTTGCAGTAGTGTGTCAATACTGCATTCAATATCACTGTATCCTGTGGACATGGTTCCATCCAGCCTGACTACTGGATGTTTAGGAGGAAAGGATGAGTTTCAGCCTTCTTTAGACAGCCCTATGCCCACTTCTGGCATTCTGGCAGCTTCCTCTATGTGTACAGATGTACCCACCTGCTCAGCTGATTGATGGAGTAGAAAATTTCTTCCATGTCCTCTTTCCATAATGCTGTGAGTGCAGAGCATCTATCCACTACCATCCCTCAGGAATGCAACCCTTGTCAGGCAGTTGAGAAATCAAAGGGAAAGTCAAATTTAAGAAAAAAAGACACAACAGACATCTTGTTTGCTCTGCACTAGCTGACAGCAGTGCAGAGAGAATTTTATTGTCTAAGTGTGAAAGGAAGCAGGAAGAAATATCAAGGACTAGGGGAAGTGCAGTAAGAACTAAATCTAAATACAGGTTCTGTGTTGGCTACACAAGTACACAGAACCCTGCTGATTAATTACAAAAAGACACACATGATATAGTTCATAAAGAAAGAAACCCTCCATTTCTTAGTTTGGAGCTGTACCAGTGATAAATATGTAAGTGGTTTGGGAGCACCCTGTCAGTGCTAAAGTAGAATACTGATGTGCATGGAAGGGGACCCGCTGGTCCCACTAGCACCATCCCAACCCTGACCTGGAGGGAAACTCTGCTCTGCAGAGATTGCAAGGGATTTAGTAGCCTTCTTGGCCTAGGTTGAGTTGCTCTGGAGCAGGCAGAATTGGGGCACACTCTGAAGGTGAGTGGCTGTGATATGAGTAAACACCTGCTCAGGAAACAGGAAAAAAAATATTAAATTCCCTAAGGAGTTCTGCTTGGCTGCAGGGAGCTCTGCTCTGGCAGAGCAGACACCAAGCGAGGGTAGCACTTTCCTTGGGTTATGGTGGAAACTCTGTCACGCAGGTCTTAGAGGGTAACAGTGGAAGACCACTGGAATTTGTGGTGCTCCTTCAGCAAGACTCGCACGTACAATACGCATGGGAGATGGGGCACATCCTGCTTCTGTCCAGCTCTTAATCAGGACCACCTGAAGTGCTTTACTTGCAAGAAGCAAATGGTCAAAGCGGCCACCTGAAGGGATTAACCAGAACCACTGGAGCAGTGTCGTGCCCATCTAACCCTGGCTGTTCCCTTTCAGCAACAGGATTCCTCTGTTATGGTTTCTTAACTCTGCATGTTTACAGACACTCATGTTTCAGCATATGCAGCACTGCATGTAAGCCCACCTTCAGTGTAAGCACCTGATTAAGGCTTTCACCTGAAATGCTTTAAAAAAACATGTAAAGCAGATCTGAAAACACCAATACAGCTATTGTATAAACACAAACTACCTCCTAGCCGCCGTTCTGGAGTCATTTATTCTGGCATGGATCCAAACATACTATGTATTGACCCATACAGTGGCACACAGGTAAAAGTCATCTCAATAAAAGCACTCCACTGCCCAGCTACACCTGCTAACATACCTTAAATTCCTAAAGACCCACTTAGATTATCAAGGAAGGAAAGAGAAAAAAGCTTGCATGTCACAGACAGACAGACAGCTGATCCTACTTCCTAACATGTAAAGCTTTTATTGAGTGATGTCATCAGAGAAGGTTCTTGGTTTTGTTCACTAATGCAGCCATCCATTTAAAAAGTTTAGATCACCCCTGTATCAGAGGACTTGTCTGCATAAAAGGAGAAACTCTTACTTCAAGGTTTGAATTACATACAAAGGAGTTTTTGCTAGCAGTAGACCAGCATTTCTCCAGTAAAGCCTTCCTAACCTCACCTAGACGTGGTGTACAACACAGGCAGTATCTAATCCATTCATAGTTTAGAGGCAGTTCCCTTCCACAGTGTTCAGAAGGACTCAGATGAGATCTACTGAACAGTGAAATTTACACTGCAGAGGTACTTGAACTATCACATCAATATTTAATATTAAATACTTCATTAAAAGTAATCTTCAAGAACCACCTTTTTATATTCTGTAGCTGCTAAGGTGTATGAGTTAAACCCTATTTTTTCACTTCCATTCATTCTTTGCCCTGCTAAAGAACAGAAAAGCGAAGACTCATCTTCAGACTTTTTTTTCTTAGGTTTTGTGTCAGATAGGCTAGAAACTAGAGCAGCTCATCGAGGGAGAAAAGTGGTATTACAAAAGCAGGGTTAATCATTGTAACCTTAAGTTACACAGGGCAAAAAACTACCCTGCACAAATCCTGTGTCAAACATGGGGTACTCCCTTGTTTGTCATCTCAGCAAGGAACCTAAATTTTATAGTGAAGCAACTCATCTTGTTACAGAGATACAGAGGGGACAAGAGCAAGAAGGGGGAAATTATTAGGTCATTTTCTATTTCTTTGCACCAGCCTAAACTGGTAATACAGAAACAGGAAGGGGCAGGAGATTTACCATCCAAAGAAACACAGCAGAAGGCTTGAAACAACAGCTCTAGTAGATGCCTCAGGATCTGGTCCCACATTCATCTTGACAAGTCGTCAATGTTAGATGCAGAAGAATTAAAAGATTCCCAGCATAGACAGTTAGGTAACTGAATTTTGAAAGAGGATATTCTTGTCTTGCTCCAGCTAGTGAGTGCTCTGAAGGATGAGGATTAAGAGACCTTAAGCAGTACCTGTCACTCATGCCTTAAACACCCACTTCCTTTGATTTTCTAAACTATTGGCCTCAGTTACATCCTGCAGGAAAGTGCTTAATTACTGGGTCAAACAAAGCGCTTTGTTCTAAGCCATTCTGCCCTGGTGATCTAAGGCTGCTGAGCATCCTTTAGCCCTGCTCTCAAGAAGGCATCATTAGGAGGCAGTCAACCCTTCCCTCGCCCCTCTTCTTTCAAGTCTTTCCCCCTGCTCCTTTCCATCTGAAAAGGCTCACGTTGATCCAGTTATTGAATGTGCTCTGTATGAAGCTACTAATTATTCTCAAGAGCTTTCTGTTAACCAACCAACCAACCAATCAACCAAAAAAAAAAGGTATGTTTCCTAGTTTTATATAAGTGGGTATTACAGTATTTTCTCAATTTCATCCACTTTAATAAAACCTAACATTCACTTTCCTTTGCTACTCGCTGGTCGTATTTATTGTAGCTTTCACAGTGACACCTGAACTTTCAGTGTGCTACACAACAGCATGAGCAGGCAGCTCGTGGCTTTCCTGTGACCCATATTATTTACAGGTATCTGTGGTACCTTTACAGCTATCACCATTAGCATCCAGATACTAGGTCTGCTAACTTACAGCTGCATAAAATTGGCCAGGGGAAACATTCAAATGGCTGCTTGCCTTGAACCTGTCTGGTTTCAGTGTTGTGTGTAGCTGGAATGCAAGGGAGAACAAGTGTTCCAGTGCACTGTGAAAGTTGCATCCTCTTCTGGATTAACCTTATCTTGGATCAGCAGCAGGTTAGGGCACCTAACTGTGGATTCTCCTCTTGTCATACAGAAAAGTACAAACAGCTAAAAGAGCCTGGCAGAACAGACTGCAGTTGTATGAACGCATACGTAGGGCCTTGCATGCTACATCACAGTGAAGGATGTACAATTAGGGACCTGTAAGGCTCAAGATAAAACACTTGTGGGCAGTGCTACGAGGATTAACACTGCTTTAACTCGGCAGAAGAGCTGATTTGTTTGGGGATAAGAGCCCATTCTCTGCCACCAAAATAGCACTGCTTACATGAGAGTGTGCCACAGCTATACTGTGACACAAAACTGTGCTAGAGGACTACGCTCCACATGTTTCTAATGACTCCACTGGAAAGCAGAAGTTCTAACCAACTTAAATATTTAGTATTTCATACAGCTTAGCTCCTTGCTAATGTTGTGGTAAAAAGACTCAGCTTCTCTCCAACTCTCCGACTGCCAAGCCGAGTTTCTGCATCCCCAGATCCATGGATCACAGCTGCACTGTGCTGACTTCTGGCAGCCACTCTGCTTGCAGGCTGTAGGTCTCAGTGACCTGACAACGCTCCTGATTTCTGCAGCATCACTGCTTCGTGAGACTGCATTCCCCTGAAAAGTAGTTTAGAAAGTGTTAAGGCTGTGACTGGGCAGAAAAGCCTAGCCCAACTATGAGGCTGAGATGGACAACTACCTTGAGCAGGGCTTCCCACCAACAAGTGCTCAGCGTTGGCATTCCAGGCCTATAATACAGCGATGGAGGAACAAGACTCTTACAGAAAGGAAAAATGCTTGTAAAACCTCTTCAGGTCATCAAATTCTTCCTCACCTATTTGTGTTAAAACTTGTACCTTGGTGACTGAGATGCCTTCTGCTGCCTTTCACTAAAGCAGACAGTAGCTGCTACTAGAGAGAAGGCAGATGGGGAAGGAGCTCCAGACTGAGGTGTCTCATCAGCCCCTGCCTTTTCCCTGCGCTGCCAGGCCGATGTCCCTGCCCGTTTTCACATGGACATGACACAGGGATACCCTGTCCTACCCTGCCACAAAAGGTCATACTGCAACGGTCCAACAGCAGTGCAACAGGCAGAGATGCCACCATCCCACCTTCTGCCCCCTCAGACTCAATGAAATGCATTGGAATAGGCTGGATTAACCCCAAGATGGGTTTTCTCCAGACAAGAGGCTCTCGCGTGATTAGTAAAACAGAGACTGAGCAAGATCAGCCCCATCTCTCACAAGAGCAGTGTTAAAGTGCTCAGAATGACAAAACTAAGAGTGTTTGCACAAGATGCAGGGGCTGTCCCATTCCAAAATTACCCTCAACCCCACAGGCTTTGCATGGGCTCAGTACTTG